CCCAGCCGAAACCAGGACACTTAGATTAATTTTTAAAGCTATATAATATTTAAATTGTGGACTTCTTTCCCACTGTTATATTAGGCTTGACAATAAGAATTAGTAGGAAAAAAATTGTATTGTTATTGTCTTGAATGACAGTTTTACATGTTAGGTGCCTGGTAACTGTTAAAAGGAAGAGAAGTAATTACAGACATTTAACAAAGTTTATGTTTAATTATGTATGTACTCATAAAGAGCTGTCCCACTGAAATGAGAATAAAAAGCAATCAGTTATGCAAATACTTACTGATTTTGCTGTACTACTAACTAAAAAATGTCTACTTATTTACTAAGTAGATTTTCAATTAAACAAGGATGTCTGAAACAATGGTTTAATTTACACTTACAGCTTAGAAAAATCATTATCTTATAAGGGAGCTCATACAGTAGGCTTCAGCACAGGAACTTCTTCTACTGCAAGCTTTAGAAAATTCCACAACAGAAGTTTTGACTCATTTATAACTTACTGGAACAGTCAGTTGCTCTACTGTAATAGATCTGGGCTACTTCAATAAAAAAACCACATGGATATTCTTAAAGTAACAGAACATACTGAAATTACTTGTAACAGAAATGTGTGTACAAGGTCAAAAAGCCAAAACACTCCCTGCCCCCAAGAAAAGCTTATGTGATTTGATGTTTTAAAAAACAGAATTCGAGAGCGAAATTTTAACTAGTGGAAGCATGGCAAAGCTCTTGAAAACCTGAAATCATGATTATAAAGGTTTTCACGAATTTTACTACAGCTTCCTTTGTGTACAACAAAACTCTAAAACTCTGCTCAGTTTGCTGGAGCAAATTATGGAGCACCTCACCATAGGTACAGCAGTGAGCAGTGGTTATAGATAATACCTAGAAAGATGCACAGACCGGGGGATGAACAACAAACAGTTGTTTCCACAGTAACAGCCACCAGTTATTTACATATTCAGCTAATCTGTTGTCTTTCTTAATCAGCTTAATGACAAGCTAAGACATCATCAGCTCTCTGAAAAGTCCGTTCTTAGTATTTTGAAAAAGCAATGAAATTGTAGCTGAAGAGGTCAGAGCAATCAAACTAAAAAAAAAAAGGGTCCATAAGATTCTCCAAACTCTGGTAAGCATATATTTGATATTTTGGAAATCAAATCGGAAAGAACAAAGCAGACAAAAACACAGACCTGAAACAAATATGGAAGGGATACAAGAAAAGACTGAAAGGAGTTCCAAAGAAATGTTTTATAGGATTGACTTCTTCGCTCTCTCCCTCAAGTTTCATACAGGTAAGGAAAGGTAATGAACAGCATTGTTATTGCCATTGAAAAAAAAAAAATGTATTTCAACTGTATACTGAATTACTGTATATGTGAATAATTAACTTACTGCTGTGAGGTTCAAAGATAAACTTGTTGCAATTTACTGAGTTACCAAAAATGACCTTCCTATTGTCAAAATTTCCTGTTTTGCTGTAATTCAGGATTATAGCTGTGTTTTGAGTTGATTTACATCAAAAGTAGTTCACTGGTTCCATTAGAATACCGAAACCAAAGCTGCTACTACTGTAAATCTAAATATGTACTATCAACTTTAAATTATGAGCTATCTTAATATTTCAATAAAGCTGACAAGTGAGAATTAAGTAGTTCGAGAATTAGGCATCAAGATTTTAAATCAGCCAAAAGTAACAGATTTTTACCCTTATGAGTTCTACACTGCAAACTTCACACCAAATTTTAAACTTACCTCATCACTGGGATCTTGCATTGCTTTTTTTCCAGAAGTCTGATCAGGTGGCAATTCATTGAGCTCCACATGAAAGAGAAAGAAAATGAAGCCATACAGTGCTGGTCCCAGGCCATTGCACAGGCCTCTTATTCCAGTTATTATTCCTTGGACAACACCTAATGAAGAAAAAAAAAATAAGAGTAGGATTTTTTTTTTTTTTAAATCAAGAATAAAACACTCGGAGCCAACAGCTCTGAGTGTATCCTTAATGGCTGTTCCAAAATAGCACATCTCGATTATTTCTATATTCTAAGATCTTAAGAGATACATTGAAGACAACTTTGCTGGATTAAAATAATCCTCTGCATGACCATAGTTCTGTCACTGTACTTGCATGCTACTGGAAGCGATGTGAGTTTTGAATATGAGTTACTACATCTATGTGCAAGTCTAATTTTATGTATTAGAGTTCTTCCAGTCTCACCCAAAGCCTACAATGAAGAAAGCAGAGGTTAAGCATGGACCTGCTCAATTTATATTACTCTAAATGTCACTTGAAAATATCTACGTGTTAAGGGTTGTTATTGGCAAAATACGCACAAACTGTAATAGATTTCTTCCCTTTACCAGTCTAAACCCAGGATATATTTAAGTACCAAGTAACTTACTCAAGGTAGTAAATTCAGCAGTACTGCAGTAAATTTACAATACCAGATTGGTTGCAGTTTTACATTAGATTATTTTAAAAGCTCGATTAATCAAAGTTTTATGGATGTATTTCTGTTTCAATTTCATTAAGTGATTGTGACAACAATGTAAAAAGTTTTTTGACGATCTTATAGATTAAGATTCTACAGAACACTATTTTTACAGTATCAGTAGTCTGCATACCCCCTTCCTTCTTACAGAAGTAACTTGTGAAATGGAAGGAAAGAAAACATGCCAAAAAAGAAAGCTGTCCAAGTTTTTTCTTCATAGGTTGACATGTAAGCTTAAAATCTTCATGCCACTAGGTGGCAAAACTTCACTCTAGAAACTACTATGTGCCTGAGCTATTAACAGTAGCTTCCTCTATATAAAATGAAAGATCGATGACTTCTGTCAACTTAACTAAACTATTCATTTCGTGACATAAATAGAAAACAAGTCTTTTAAAACCCTTTTAAATGTCTCTATTATAAACAAAAATGGGGGAGAGAGGAATGATAAAAAAAGCCATGTAAAATATTCCTTTGCACCTTTCAAACTCAGTAGAAATCTGCCTCCTAGAACTGCACCTCCTTTGTACCTTCCCATATTAACTGCATTTATCTAACTTCAAGTTGTACAATGTTAAAGCAAGACTGATACTTACGATCTATATGTACAGTATTTTTTTTAAAGAGAACACTAGATTCAGTTATTATATGCCAGCTTTATACTTTGTGATGGGTCCTTCCCTCACTTCATTTTAAATGAAGTTATTTCTGATTGTTCATTCCCCTTCACAACAAATTTTTCTGCCTTCTCAGATCAACTATTTACTTAAGCTTCCTTTTCTATTCCTTGAAAATCTGAAGTATTATAGCAAATAGGGCCAACTTTTCCACACAGACTAGAACTCCTTGTATAGCCTTATTTTAATCTGGTAAGATGTGTTTTTAGTTTCCATTAAAAAGATGGTATTGTTACATTAATTCTCACTATCTACTTAGAGAATATTACTTTTAATAAAAAAAGAGGAAGGAAAAAACATGAAAGTTACCACATCTGTTTTTATTGCTTTTGTAGTACTCTTACAGGAAGCTAGAAGAGAAGTAGCTGGTCAGACAGAGACTACGTATTTTGCAATGCAAATCTGATATATTTGTGTACCTCCTTCCTCTCTACACAGATTGGCAGACTTCCACAGCTACTACCAAAGAAACTCATTACTCATCATATTTGAAAAGTACACCTAGATAAGTATTCTGCTTTCTAGATGGAAGAGTCATCCAAGAAAGCAGTCCAATGCTGAAACAGAAATTTAATAAATACTCACCCTGTTGATCTGACTCTGCATTTCGTGAAACCAGAGCACTGATTGCTGGGAAAGTAATGCTTGACATTGCTGCTACAGCTCCTGCTGCCCACATCATCCTGTGTTAAATACATAATTTGAATTAAAAATGAGATTGCCCATGTAATTACTCCCCACCCCCCCAAAAAAGGGCCAGAAGGGTACCCTCATTTAAGGCTTAACGCCCTTTCAAAAGTTCTTATTAAAATACCTAAAGACTCAAAATTATCTGGTCAGGGCCTTCTTCCTGCTCCCCTCCCACAAATTACCCTGAGCTTGTTGGAACAGAAGCACATCTGATTCTACAGTAGCTATTACAGCAGAGGAAAAGAAAGGAGTGGGAGCAAAGTGATGCACAGGCTTTCCCTCTCCAAAGGCTGTACATGGGAACAATTTCACAGGGTGTCCCAGTGAGGCCGTTCTCTACCTTGTATAACTCACTAGAAAGTGCTCTGATAAAAAAAGCAGCATTCATCACTGTCAGTTAGGACAAACTTTGTAAAGAAAAAGCTGTTCTAGCTTCACTTTACTTACAGACAGTTCTTCCAACAAAAGAAGCTCTAGATAGTTTCCAAATCCAATTATAGTGATAGTAAGAGAATGACACGTTAGAAAAAAAGAAAAAAGTAGAGGTCCAGTAACTGATTGATAGAATGGATCTAATGGAATTACCGGAGAGAACATACTACTTATTAGCTTGTGAGTTTAAGAAAAAGTTTTAGCCACATTTGTAGACATAAAATTCAGCAGACCAAAATAGTGCAAAGACTCCTTTTTCAACAGGGCTGTTAGTCTGCAATTTACACTATAAACCTGGAAAATTCTGTCATTCCTACACGTGCAAAATACAGACCAAACTTTGGTAGTGTAAGGCAAATAATAATGCTTAATTCACAGAACATCTAAATACTCATGATGACAGAACTAAATGGTAGAATTTCTTGGGAAAACATTTTCAGTTCCTTGTCAGGTATGTACCTATGAAAATGCATGCTTACCAAGACTGAGATCCAAAACCATACCAAGCCAGCTGAAGGATTTGAAAGCCAAGGCCAAGGAGAACTGTATTTTTGTTCCCTATTGACCTCATCAAGATACTGAGAAACACAGTCTGCAAGAGAAATTGGTTCATCCAAAAGTTATTTTAAAAAGCCAGATTGCTAAAGTAATTTCTCCTTCTATACAAAGTAATTCAGAAGACCTTTCAACTGCTGACGAAATTCACACTACTCGTGCTCTTACTTCCCCTGTATTAAGTCCAAAATGCAGACTAGTCATACCAACATTTGAGGTACAGACATTCTTAACTATTAAAGAGTTTCTACTTCAGGACATCAAGAAGCATATGTATTGCCTTCTCTATGGACATTATTTCTCAGTGTCTGTTTCTACTGTAAACAGGCTTTTGTTTCCACCTCTACAATTTTGTTTTCATTACAGACAAGAGAGTTCCACAATAAATTCTGGTACCAAGTTAAGATAGTACAGAGTTGAATTTACAAGCATCTACAAATACTAGAGAAAAAAAGACTGTTAGCTCAGAAAAAAGTAATCTCTTTAGGTCAGGTGAATTACTATCCAAATTCAGAATTAAAACCAACAAGTAAATCCTGGTGCTTTTCCAACTTCACTACAGGCATTGAAATTTGGCCGCGGCCAATTCCTAGGCATCTTTAATTACATTTTCTGCTGACTCTTTACACCACCCACATGACCTTTTTATTTGCACATGGAAACTAATCCTAAAGAAAGACCACTGTTTTTCATCCATTTGAGGTGTTACTGCTGAGGGGGAAGGAGGTCCCAATTGGGATACAACAGCAATACACTCATGGCAAGAAGCAGACTGTTCCTAGTAAGGCAAAGTCCATATGGGCAACTTCACTCAGTTAACAGTGCACACATTTTTCTTTAACATGAGAAACTCAGCAATGCATCAGTAAAAAGCCAGAGAAAAGGAACCAGAAGGATTGCAGAGCACAACATACTTCCTCTCTCATGTACATCTTACTCACACTAGTTTTCTTGTTTCTCATTCTTAGACAAAGCTAGTTTGGAAGCTAAACAGCAAAAACACTGTAATTCTATCTACATGTGATCAGTTGTTTCTGGAGATACCCAACATGCCAACACAAATCAGTATTTATGAAGTAAAGCTTATTTCAATAAGCTGCACTCTTCAAAGTTTAAAAATCCATGCAGAGTCCTGAAAATTATGATACAGAAGGGCAGCCATTTTAGAGATTTTTAGCAAAAATACTCGTCTGAATAAAGTATGACTGGCAAATGTGAGTTCACATAAAAGCATCAGAAAAAGCCACAGAGCAAGGATTAAAATAATGATTTGTATTGATAATGAAGGACACAACTGACAGCAGTAAAACTGGCGAACACTAAGGAATGTGTTGTTTACATCAAACCAGTAAGACCTCCACTCTGCTAAGGATGGCAACAAGGTTACAGCACATTGCGTGTACTATTGTCCTTCCTATTATCACAACAGGAAGACAAACTGTACCCATAAAGATACCAAAGATAACATCATAAAAATTGTTTGACTTCTAAAAGGTATAAAGGACCTATCCAAAAACAAGCCCACTGTTGCCAGTTACGAGGTATGAAAGCAATATACCAAGGTGTCCTGATTTTGGCTGGGATAGGGTTAAATTTCTTCCTAGTGCTGTGTTTTGGATTTAGTATGAGAAGAATGTTGATAACACACTGATGGTTTTACTTATTGCTAAGTACCCTGGCTAGCAGGGCTAGTCAAGGACATTCAGCTTCCATGCTCTGGAAGAGGCTGGGAGGGAGCATAGCTGGGACAGCTGGCCCAGCTGGCCAACAGGGTATTCCATACTATGTGACGTCATGCTCAGTATATGAATGGTAGGCGTGTTCCAGGAAGTAGTGATCGCTACTTGGTTATCGGTCAGCGCGGATGGTGAGAAATTGCACTGTGCATCACTCATTTTTTATATTCTATCATTATCATTATTATTATTATTATTATTCCCTTTTCTGTTCTACTAAACTGCCTTTATCTCAACCCACGAGTCTTTCTCACTCTTACCCTTCCGATTCTCTCCCCGAGGGGGTGGGGGTGAGTGAGCAAGCGGCTGCGTGAGGTTTTGGCTGCCTGCCGGGTTAAATCACAACACAAGACCTCACAGTTCCTCAGCCTCCATGCTGAGCCTAAGTAACCCTGGACAGATCATGTCAATACCTGCATTGTTTGAACACAAGTTTGATAGCATGAGCCAACTGAGTAAGTGCAAGTAGCATGACTTTTGCTTAAAATAAGTAACACGTTTTCCTTTCAGAAGGCCTTGCATTAAGCAACCAATTTCCTACCTCATTTTAAACATTTAAAGCCAGAGTTCCAGTAAATTTACTGACCCAAGCTTAGCAAATTTTAGTTTAATTTTCTGATGCCCAGGTCCAGTATTTCTAAGGAAAGCAGATTTAAAGCAAGACATTTATGCAGACTATATATTGATGTAACCTTTAGTGAATGCAAGATACACTGACATTTCAGAGCATGTAAGAAGTTTACTGAAAAGCTTAAGAGTCAGAAGAGTGTGCCTTGGCATTCAGTTTGTACTGTTCAATAAAACACTAAAAAGAATAAAGCTTACCTGAGCTATTATAGACAGAATGCCTACTACAGCTATAAATGCTGCAATGCTAGCAGATCCAAAACCTATAATCTGAAGAGAAGCAGAAAATGCATAAAACAAATGCTAAATACAGTCCAGGACAATCACTAGCAAAAAGATACCTTCTTCAAAGAAAACACTGATCCCTGCTTATAATCTAAACCCATGCAGGAAGTGTCCACTTTTGAGAATAATCCTTAACTTGACTGCTTGCCAAGAAAGCCACACAAGAAAAAAAGAACTGCCTTAAAAAAAGGAGACAGAGGAAGTCATGTATATGGAAATAGAAGTTCTCTGTCCCCTCACAAAGACACACTAGCTCTTCAACAGGCAGGATCCCACCTCGAGACATACAAACTGCTGCACTGAATGGGAACAAAGGTCTGGTTAACTTTATGAACACATGCTTAAGCTATGGCAGGGTTTATGCATCAGGAATCAAGTATTATTCAGCTCTTGGCTTAGCAAAGTACCCTGCCTTTATTTTTTAAAAGCTGTATTTTGACAGGAAGAAGTTTTCTGAGCAAAGTCTTCAATAAGAAGCAGGTCTCAGGGAATACTTATTTAAACATCTTTATTAAGATGTGAAGACACCAACATTTACCTGTCGCAAGTACAGAAAAAAGCTAGAATACTGGCCAGCCTCAGGCAGATAGGAGAGAAACACCGTAATGCAGATCGGGAGAACAGTAGAATCTTTTCTAACCTTTTTCAGAGACTGTAAAACAAAGAAACAAAACAAGTATTGGAACATCTATACAAAGTCTAATGAAAGCACAAAGAAAGCAGAAGGTGGACTAACTTTTTAAAAATCCATTTTTACCCACGCGTACGGTCAAAAAAATCACACATGGAAACAGTTAAGCTGAACATTAAGTTAGAAACAACCCCGTTATATAAGGTTTGTGGTATCTGACTCTTCTGCAAAGTTTCCATTTGATTTTTGAAGCTATTGTTCAGTGCCAAATTACAAGTATTCACTGAAAACAGCATTATACAATATTTAGGGAAATGCGTAGTATCTTCTAATTGATCTCCATAATAATCTGTTCTGAAAGATGATAGCAAATAATACAGCCTCATTTCAACTGTTTCTCTTCCCAAACTGTGACAGTATTCTTCCTTGTACATTTCTTATACGTGTTCACCCATAATATGAATCAGTTTGAGTAACAAATAAATTGTGGAAAACAAATTCTTTAACTGCAGTCTTTCAGGCATGTCACTCATCTCTCAACATTCACAACCAGCTCCCAGCAGGATGGATCTCACGACGAACAATCACTCTTAAAAAAAACACAAACAAACTAGCTGAATAAGTGTGACTAACTGAACAAGTTTCTAGAAAGACTGCATGATATGTTTTAAGCCTGTGGAAAAATCATGCTTTATAGATCCATTCTATATTAAAAAGAAATCACATATAATCAAAAGTGGAATTCAAGAGTGGAGAGAGATATTGCCAAGCAAAAGTCCAAAACATAAAATGAATATGGAAAAGTCTTACAGTATCTGGTTTGGGGGTCTGTAGCAGTGCAAGAATTCAGCATTTCTCTTACAATAAAATAGAGTAAGTAAGTTAGAAAGGTAAAGCATCTTCCCTTTGGATTTCACAGCAAACATTGTTTCCAATTCAAGAATAATTTAATCCACAAAGTTTGGTTTGGTTTTGGTTGTTAAATACAGCTAGATCTTTTTGTGCAAGAGCAGAGAATAGAGATTATGGTATACTGAATAGTCAAGCTACCAATAAGATTAAAGATTTCTCAAGCTTACAAAATGCAATTAATTATTATTAATCAATTATTTATCAATTATTTATTGAAGTGCATCTTACTGCAAAAGGGTCTGCTTGTTCCCATGATATAGAAGCTCCCCATGAAGCAGGTCTCATTTTTTCTGGCAGAGATTCTGGTACAGCCAGCAGGATGAAGCAGATATCCACAACAGCCACCAATGTGGCCACTAGTACAACAAGGTTATCTCCGTAGCTGGCAGACAGGTATGCTCCAATGGCAGGACTAGTTACCAAACTTGCTGCAAAGGTGGCAGATACCTATGCACAAGAACAGTTTACAAACTTGTCGAAGTGGTTATTCTGCCATTGCAGAAAAATTAAGTAACTTGCTCAACACCACCACATCACTACCCCTCCCCAGAAGTGTGGTTTTGAAAAAACACCAGTCAAAATTTAATTTTAAAAAAAAAAAAAAAAATCACTTATGACAGAAAATATAGGTTCAAATACAGTTTCCCCAGCCTCCTCCACAGTATGAGACAGGATTTGCAGTCAAAGAGCGAGTTTGGCTCAAAGGAAAACAGTTCTTACTTCCAAATAGAGTAAAATGTTTTTTGTTTTCCAATTATGAAGTTGATGAGATTTCACTGAAAAAGTTGTCAGCGCATTTAAATACCCGCCTAATTGAATCTGAGCCTCAGCACTCCGGGTAATACATAGAGTAATACATAATACCTTTGTTAACAGTTCGCATTTTACATACATAGCTACCACTGGATAGCACAGCAAACTAGGAAATCATTAGCTATGACAACAACATCAACAATTGTATTGCTTCATACTATGTTGTAGTGACATGCAGCTACTAACAGATCATTTATATTTACATACAGCAGAACATGATGAAAAACCAAGTGCTGTAGTTAAATTTCACTATAAAAATCATCATAAAAGGTTAGAATAAAGCTAGTTTGTTTGGGGTTTTTTAATTACTACTCTTTTCCAGTCCCCAAAATAAAAACTCTGCATAACTACTTTATCGCATAAGAACACAAGCTAGAAATTTAGCTTTATACCAAGCTAGAAAAAACATCCTAAGGAAAAGGTATAACAAACAAACTGATTAGAAAGAGATACAGACCTCTTCAAAACAACTGCACTTTCGTCTATCACTTTATAGAATTTTAGGTAAAGCTGTTTCTGTTAATAAAAAAACATTTAAAGGCAGGCAAATATATGCTCCAAATATACTTATGGCCCTTTTTATAGGCAGGAGAAATAAAGTGGGAATTCCAGAACTTTTAAACCTGTTTTGTGCTCTGCTACAACAATACACACAAGTATGGTTCAAGAGAACTAAGTCCTTTACTTTCTTAAATGTTAAATCAACATCTAAGAATCATACATCCCTAAGGCTAAAAATAAAGGAAACCTTAACAGCTCAAAGTACAGTACAGTCAGCCAAAAATCAAGTCCATGGATATCTGTATAGTGAAAACAGATGCACAAAGGATAAAGGGCATCTACCAATGGGCCTCCAAAACCTAAACCAATACAGGTTTAGTACCTAAACGATACTCAGGAAAGCAAACTAAGCAGGAATTATATTACTACTGGAAAGGCTAGTTTGTACTAACTGAACTATCTTCCTCTTCTCTTGATAATTAAGAAAGGTCATGACTAAGAAACTAGAAATACTGCATTATGCATTTTCGCCCTTCCTGCCTGTTTTGACTATAGAAAAAGCCATTCTATATTAAACAGTGCAATTTAGGGTAGTGGAAAGATATTGCCAGATCAAGTATTAAATAACTTGCATTGCCTTTAACAACATTTCTTGTTCTGCCTGCGGAAACTTAAAACATGTTTTGTTACCCATGTCCTCTATGCAGGTAAAGTTGTCAAATTCTTATTCTGTTCCTGTGAGCACACAGCAGTCTGTGCAGCAGTAAAAAGTCTAAATTAGATTTCCCAAACTCTAACGCAATGCCTTGATGCATGGTTCATTCCTTTCTCTATCAACCTCATTACATTAATCAGGAAACAATCTGTGCACCAAAACATAAGTTCGATACGAAAGTTATAATCTGACCTTTTTTTCAAGTTTAGCATATCTTACCAATCCATAGGCTGTAATTCTTTCATGTTCTTGTGTTACATCAGCTACATATGCAAATATTACAGAAAAGGTAACAGAAAAGATTCCAGATACCGAAATCATGGCGAAGTACCACCTAATGATTTAAAAGCAACAATTAGAAAGTTTAAGCTAAAACCTCTTGCTTTTCTCTTACTAATCAAGCAAGTTTGTATTTAAGCTATGAGAAGTGTTCCTCAAGAACTAACATAGGGCTTCACTGGAGATGAATGATGGTGCAGTCTCACTTGAATGTTGGAAAACAGCATTTTAACTTTTTATATTCTACTGTTTACTTTACATCAGCCCTTTGGGACATGCTACCTATACGTTGTCACACTCTCAAAGCTGAAGCAAGTGTAAGTTATGAAAAAGGAACTATCTTAGAACTCAGTTTCTCAACCAGTTAAGGAATAAACTATCATATATAATGCTTCAGAAGCTGAACTCTGAATGCACTCAGTGTACACAAAGTTCTTTTGTAATCCTCCTAAGTTTCACAATGAATGTAAATGAAACTGAAACCAAGTCAATTCCACTCAGTTAAGACTTCAAAGTTGCCTAATCAAAGAGTTAAAAGATCTCATTTGCAGCAATTATACTTTTCTGTGGTCAATAAATTCTAAGGTTCATTTAGCTTTAAAATATGTTTATTACAGCACTGTCAGTCCTCAGCGGGAAAAAATTAACAGCTGAGCTTAAAACTGAGTTAGACAGGGCTATCAAACCATTTTGATTACTATTATTCTTGTGTGAATACAGTAACTAAATCACATTCTGTAATTTCTACTTTTAAGATACAGTTTTAATAGCTCTTAAACAGAAAAGCTCCAGAATAATGCAATCACCTCTTGAAAGGAAAAGTGGCTTTGCTCTTGTCTTATTGTCCCCTCTCCCACTTCTCCAAACTACTCCTCTGATTGAATTTCTGCTGTACTGACAAGCTCCCTACTGCAGTCTGTACCACTTACCATGGACTTATTCTCATTAATGGAATTGGGGCACAGGTGAAGAAAACTGTAAGAAGAAGAAAAGATTTTCTTCCCCATGCATCTGATAGAGCACCTATTAGTGGAGCACTGAGAAAGGACAAAAAACCCTGTGACAGAAGAAAAATAATTAATATGTCTATATTTACACTTCCAAGTTTTACCTTAACCACACCACAAAAAAGGACTAAAATTGCAGTTTTATTTGAAACTAAGCACAAAATCATAGAAAACTGAAATTATATACAATTTCCTCTACAGTCTACTTTTCCGTGATTCTGACGTTTTATGTTTCAAATCTATTAAACCTGAGTGCATTAAAAAAAAAAAAAGGCCAATATTTTTTCAAGATGAATTTGATTCAATATAGAAGTACCACAGACTGCAAAAGCTTCTTAAAAATCTCCGAAATCTACTATCTAGTTTCACAAAGTACATCTTCTTAGCCTCTCTATCACGAGACTTAGTGGTAGATCCCAAACCCAAATTCCCCTCTAATTTGGACTGTTCTAAGGCAGAGTTTTGGGTAACTTAACTGTTCTCTGAAACAAATTAAACAGAACATTTATTGCTTTATACTACATATTTATCATGTACAGGACATTTGTACATTGCAAGAACTATGAGGACCATTTGAGCACACTTGACAACTTGAGACAGTGGAACACCATAATGATATTCCAGTGGCAAAAGTCAGACTTTCAGGTACAGCTGTAATGGAAAAATCAACTAAGGATCAAATACTAGATTTTCCAGCATTTCATGAAGTACTAGAATCTAGACCTCAAAATCTGTATTACACAGAAGACTTAAAATAAGCAAAGCCTTTCACAGGTTTGTTAACTGCAAAACCTCCAGAACAGATGCATCTTCCTCCTAACTCGTATATTGCTCTCTCATCAATCCAACTCTGCCATAAACCCAAACATTAGTAAATACTTGGTTCTGTAAGCACCTCAATACACTGGAAGTCTACTCCAGCTCACTTTAGCTAACCCCCTGGTATTCAAATATAGTCACCTTCAAATTTAACATATGTGTACAGACTACTGCACTAAATCACTATTCTGCCAAATCCCAATAAACAACTCTGATTCCAATGATTTCAGTAAGTAAATTGAGAGCAAAAGCTAAGCTATAATGTCAGACCACTGAATCCTAGGAAAGTTAGATGCCTTACTCAGTTGAAATGTTTTTGCTCCTTAGACTCAGATTTCAGTAGAACATGAACTAACATGTTTGCTGTCACCTAAAACACTTTTGATGTTTCCTAAACAGCACTTTAAAGAAAACAATGGACACTGAGTCCCAGATCACTCTGGTTTATTCTCCCCTGTTTATTACACCTGTTTGAGCAATACATACATTTAGACCATGATTTTAATGCACTTTTCTATAGATATGCTCTGTAGAAAATACATGGGGAACCCATGTATCACTACTTTTAAGTGATACTCATAGTTACGCTGCACTGTGAACGAACAGAGTTGAAAGAAAACACCAAGGATAACATGAACTTGGTTTTTCTAAGAGAACAATGCGAAGTTAACTTCCTCTTTCAGTTTGAGACATCCCGATATCCCTAGTGCTTGGTGTTCTGCCAATCCACCATGAAAGATACAAGACGGCAAGTCCATCCTAAAGATGTCGTGTTCTTACAGCTAAAACCAACACTTTAGATCTGTTACAGAATACAAAGCTAAATAATTTCTGGGTGCTATAAATTAACTTAGCCAGAAGTTACACAAGTGCTTTGAAGCCTCTCAGTAAGATAGTTATCAAAAAAGAGACTTTCAAGTTTTAGTTATGCTAGAGAAATTTTGCAAGCTTTTTTTTGTGGCAACAATCCAGCATGATCACTGTGTGAATGCACAAGTAAGCTATAAGCTGCCCTGAATATCTTGACCATCACAGAACGCTCAAAAACTGATAAAAAAAGACCAGGAAAGGAAAAAAAACCCAACCCTGCTGAAAATTAGCTTTTATCCCACATCTTGGACAAAATCACAGTGTTTAAGTGCTTCATTTTTTATCTCAATGGTACCATCATGGTTGCATTAATCTGCTTTTGATATGAATCATCTAACATTAGGAAGCAGACATTAAAAACCTAGTTCCATTCTCAGAAGGCTCCTTATCAAGATTACAATCTTGAGCTACAACTAGTACCTATTCAAATGAGAGGAATTTAAACTTCTGAGAAATAGTCCAATTGTTTCAAGATGGTACCATTTAGCAGTAAAACTTGAACTGAGCCCAAGAACACAACCATTACAACGAAAAAATGGTTTAAGAATTACTTAGGTTCTCAGTGTTTTGGATGTTCTTATGGAGAATACAGGAGAGACAAATTACAATACAGGAACACACAGAATATTTAGGTCAAAGGTTTTAAAAAAATCTTACCTTAACACCTTGAATAAGACCATTCATTAAAAATGTATGATGGGAAAATGTTTCATGTAAGACCTGGTGGGGAAAAAAAGCATTATTTGAATCAGGAGAGAAAGCAGAAAGTTGATTCAGAGTTTACATTTTATTTGTAAAACTCTATTGGGACTTGTTAAAAAATGATGCTGATACTTTTCAGTGACACTAAAGTATTGTGTTTCTTCAGGCTAGTGGCTTTCTCAATATGCATATAAATAATTTTTGTAGTTGTTGGTATAAAGTATAAAGAGTGTACTTTGTATACTCTTACTTGTCTTCACGAGAAAATGTTGACAAGGTTTAGTATCAATTTGTTGGTATAAATTTCTCCGTTGGCACAGACCACACTGTACTGCAGAGATAGTTTGGTTTGGGGTACTTTGCTCAGAAAGGCGATCAATGTAAGCAAAAAGACTCTCCATGTGGTACAAATCACAGAATTTCTGAGGTAGATAATTCCTTCAAAATGTTGACTCAATCATTGCTACTAACTAGGAGTGAAAATGAGATTCTGCTAACTTACTCTGTCAAGAAAAAAAACAGTGCTATATTCACAACTGTCCAAAAAGGCACCGTGCAAACCATTTCTGAACGAATTGCAGATACTTAGTAGTCGTCATACAGCTAGAAACACTTCTGATGAACAAGTAGATGCTTATAAATACTAGCAACAGTTCTGAGTGTTTCATGTACCCTTTAAGTACAGCTATGAATTAATTTAAGGTGCTTTACCAGCACTCTTAATTCAAGGGCAAGCATGTTAATCTATACTAAACAGATTTACCATAAATATGCAAGAGAGTTAAAAGGCCTCATAGGTCCTACTGTGTCGATTAAAAAAGTTATTGCAATGATCAAAGCATGTATGCACACACAGTTCAAATTCATTTGCTGTTTTTATCTACAGATCAGTGCCAACAACTACAAAAATTATTTACATGCATATTGAGAAAGCCACTAGCCTGAAGAAACACAATACTTTAGTGTCACTGAAAAATATCAGCTTCATTTTTCAAGGATGACTGAGATTCTCAAATCATAGGTTTAATAAAGGTGGTTGTTCCCACGTTAACTATTGGTCAGATAATTCTGCTTATTTACACCCTTTTTTCGTGCTGTCCACATCTTCTGTTTAAATATTTAAAACAATTTTGCACCTGTTTGACCACTGATCTTATGATATGAATGGAGAAAAAAAAGTCGGGGTTCGAATTAAAGGATCTAGAAAGATGTCTTTCAAGTGAAAAAAAAAAAAGCAAGCAGGAAGCTCACAGAGTCAAATCTAATTATCCTTCTGTAAACTGTTTTTCAGTATTTTTTCTGGGAGGCAATCACTGCTGATATTGATTGAAGCTTTTGAGATTAATTTCTGTTACTTTATAGACAAGCGAAATGCAAGTTGACCAAATGGTAGAGGGAACTGCCTTACTCAAGTTCTACCGATAGAAATATTTACATACTCAAATAAAGATTATATTGAAGACAGAATATGCCATTAAGTGATTAATGGTAATTTACTAATATTGGCTTACAAGTCCATGAATAAGAGTAATGAGCATAAACTTTGGGCTGTCTGTGAGCAAAATAGCCTTTGTGTGCTTTATAAACACTTTAAATCTTTCCTTCTCTAAGTATAGTGTCATGTAACAAACACTACAGCTTTGCTGACAGATGTCAAAAGAAGTTAAAAAGTAATCTAAAAAATGAACTTTAAATAATTTCAGCTATCACAGAATATATACAATTTATTCTGATAATACACAACACAACATTTTAAGCTGACTGAATGTTGACAATGACCTGGAGAATCATGACACACCACAAAAAATTTGAGTGATCATGAGCTTTAATCAACAGGCCAGACATTTCCATTTCTGCCCTTCCTACCAGACAAACCTGCTTGAACAAAAGTGGGCAGCTGACAGTTCAACCTTGCTCGTAAGAAAGCTCTACATGACTTCTAGTACTGCTGGCTGATCAGCAGCCAAGGTAAGTTACTACAAGTACATTACAAGACAGAAGGGTGCAAAGTATCAAACCAGGTTTGAGATTATTTAAATCAAACAGCAGTATTTCAGCATGTGCAAAGCTGATTACAAATAAAGACGATCACCCCAAGAACACAGAAGTCATTTACACCTGTGTAAGGTATGTTATGCCATTATATGTAAATCAGTGCTCTAAATTAAGTTTTCAATTCAATGCAACAGCCTCCTAAGTATTCAAGACCACGTAACAGAGGAACACAACATTCAAAATACAAGACATTCACGACCACAACTGTACTGAATCCACATACTTCAGTCAAAATAAGAATTTAGCTTTACATTAGAAGCATTTCATAGCACTCCCACTAGACACAGTGCAATGAGAAATACTAATTTCAAGAATTAACATTTCAGCTGCATGTGACTAACAGTAAAAATTCATATGGAAGTATTTCAATTGGAGTACATTATTGAGGAACTACTGAAGAACCCACCTAATAGTTTTATTAAAATGGGGGTTTTTTTGAAGACTGTGTAAGAATTACTATTTGCACATTATCCCTTTAAATGAGAAGTGTCAGTCCTGGGCAACTTGAAGTTGAGCATTTTTGTTAAGAAAAAAAGGAAAGAAAAAAAAAAAGAAACGAGAAAGATCACCCAGTAAGCTTCCCGGTATTTTGACACTGGCAAGACAGCATGACAGGATGGTAATTTAGTGAGACATCTACTTTATGGAAATGTGTTAACTGTTTATATGGACTTTTTTATTATTAAGCTATGTCAAAAAGATCAGTCATTGTCTTTAGGAGGGTTCGACAAACACCTTTCAAGAGTTATGTAGATGATTTTATTTGGAGTTTGGGGAAGGAAAACAATTAACTCCAAGGTCTTTCAATCCCACAAAACCTTGGTCATCATGTATTCAAAGTGCTCTCAGATATTATCTGATGAAAAACCAGACTAATAGACTTTTGATGACTTCTCTCAGGCAGGCCTGATTTCAATGAATAAGACCCATGTCTTCAGATAAAAAGCTTCATATCCTATTATCAAACACTCAAATTATCTATTTATCTGGAAAATAACTGCATTCCAGAACAGATTAAATACTTATAAAATCAATTTCTTACATGAAAACCTTTACATTTTACTTCAAGTCACATGCTGGCAAGTCAGCCAGCCCACAATAGCATACAAAGTTTACTATGGGACACATTGTTTATTCAATTGTTATGACTGGAAGATGAATTGAACTACGAAGTCTTAAAAAAAAACAGAATTTCCAGAGAGACTTTCATCAGTACACTAAACTGATGTTACTCTAAAAGGCACATAAAAGTTAAAGAGTAGTACAGCGTTTTGCTAATTTATTTTTCACTATCTTTTAGTCTTTCAGCAGTCCAGATCACAGCTGTAGTATACTACTATTGAGCGGTGTTGAATGTTAAGACTCCTGGAATTCAGTTTAGTGAGGTAAGCAGGAAGTGTAAAACAAATTAAAACCCCAATCCCTAGGAACTGGCAAATTAACCTTTGTCATTACTGCCAAGACAACAGCAGATTAGTGAAACTTACCGTTAGCATTGGAGTTGTCAAGAGCCCCCAGGCAAAGAATTCTAGAAATATGACCACCACCGCATGGTATACGCTTGGCCGACCAATACCTTGTTGCTAAGAAAGAAAGACACATGCAGCAGTTGTACACATCCGGTTCATTACACATGCAAAGATCTCTTACAAACATATTTTGAGTATAACCAGCCTTCAGGATGACCTACTACCAAGCTCTTGGGAACAATAATAAGCCAAACAAGGGTGGAGAAAAGTTATTACAAAATGACTAAAGATCTCCAGGGAACTTGAGAAAGTTTGTTCCCTCAAACTCTTGCTGACTGAAGAGAACTATTTTTCCCCATTCCCGACATTGCCTGTACTGCTGTCACCTCCAGTGTACCTTTAGGTTTCCTCCCCCTTGAACACTATTCACAACACTTACACAGCAGTGTGACAAACGGTGTAGCCCTCCCTGCTACCTCCACAAGTGACAATGAAACACATCTGCTTTATGAAGATTACATCACCATTACAACAAAACTGTGACAATGTACATAATCAGAAGAGCAGCAATTTTTGCATTTGAAGCTGCAAAAGTATGAGAAAAGAAGGGGCAGCTTATGCCATCTGTACAACTGCTTTCTGTTGAATGCTGACCAACTGATCTCATGCTTGTCTGTACCCAAAGACTAGAGACGCAGGAGCTATCCTACCTGTCAACAAGTATTCCCAGGAAGAATTCATAAACTATGGAGGTGCTTACAATGCTGTGAAACGGCTGCCATTCAAGACCCAAGGACCGGATCCCAGATGAGAGATCTGGAATCTTTTTGTTTAGACAAACCAGGCAGAACCCTTGGGTAAAGCAGATTTAACCAGAACTGCTGCTTGCTTCAATTTCTATGTGGCCCTTGCCATAGTAACTGTTTTACAAAGTTTTTGGGTTCTAAAATTACTTTTTTCCTCTCTCCTAACACTTGTCCTGTAGACAATTGGTTTTCAGTGTTTCTAGCCATCCAAAGCCATTACACTCCCACAGGATTGGAAATTCTTAGAAAGGAGCAATACAGCGCTCTCATCTGGTACTCCCATACATACCTGAAGTTTACCCAAAATATAAGAGGACACTTCTCTTGCATGTTGCGCAATCTAATAATGCAGGATTCAGTTGAAGAGACATCATCTAGTAGTAAGTATCAACCAGATTGTGCCATTTCAGCAGAAACATGAAGGTCTCAAGGTCTCCCACTGAACCCAAAAAAGTCAAGACAGCCTACAATGAAGGTAGAGCAGAGATGCATTTCGTGTTTCTCCCCTGCTCAGTACCTTTCATCTAGATTAGTAGGAATTTAGAAAACATTTGTATTGCAAGATTCACTTAAGCTAACCACCAATAGTAAAGATTTTTAAAGAAATCCCTAGTGCGTGGACAGTTTAAGTGCCCAGATGTCTAATAATTTTTAAATCTATCAGAGCTTATCAAAACCTGTAGGAGCAAACTAAAAGTAACCCAGACAGCATTTTTTCTAGTTAGTAAGATTCACATTATTTTCTACATTGCAGCTTGCTTCAAAGCTTGAGGATTTGAAGAAAACAGTTCTCTTTCTCCTGGGAAATAATACGATAATATCACAGATCAAAGATTATCTCTGGGTGGCTGATAACTTTCAAGCATTATTAACATTTCTCCGTAGGTTACCATGCAATTTTTAATCTCCAAATAGCAAAGATTCCAAAGATTATGGGGGGGGGAGGGAAATTTTCCTCATATAAAGAAGTCTGCAAGTACTTCTACATAATGTAATAGGATAACAATTTTAAGAGTATTTTTTTGCCAAGATGTATGTCAGTCAGACTAGCATTTAACACAGATTACCCTGAAGTCTGAAGATCCCTTCCACAGCGGTTTCCTCTGGAAAAGGCAAATTTTACAGTAGAGAGTAGGTAAGGGACTCCCCAGCCTTTCTCCTGCCTCGACTTTACTTCCCCCCCACCTCTATATCACTAAGCATGATGTTGGACTATAAACCTCTTGTTTGCATTCAGCAAACAGTTCTAATGCCACTAAAAAGGAAGTTTGGGAGTGTTTGGGTTTTTTTAATAATGTTTTTATTACATGCAAATTTCATCTGAGATTTACATAATTTACCAGAAAGATGATGTACATACACACTTGAAAAGACATGCATGTCTTTTCCTCAGAAGTCATTTAAAAACTTCTGTGAACGAAAAGTATCTTTGCTGTACTGAGCCTAAATGAGTATTTCCTGGAGATTAAAACAGTCTGCAAATCATTTCTGGCAGTTTCACGCAGCTTACAGATAGTTGCACTGAACTACTAAAAAAACCAGAAATTTATATTAGCCTTTTGGACTCAAGACATAATGTGGAAAAGTAGAATTTAAACCCTGAAAGGAACATGCACCTGTCAAAATGAAGTCAAGCATTCCACATCAGATATACTAACAGCTACCCATCTACGATCCACATAGACTGTATTTGATGATTTTCAGTTTTCTTTACAGAGCCCTAAATGTCTAGATTAATTCAAGAACACTTGTGCAAATGGCTGTATCAGGAAATTAAAATCATGCAAACAGGAAAATTCACTGACATTGTCAAATGGACCAATGCAGATAGTTACTTTTCGATGCCCATCTTTTCTGTAGGTCCTAAAATCTTTTATCACAAAGGCTTTCAATTTTTAATCAAGCATCAAGTTATTTTCAAGAAAACAGCTTATGACTGATCATGTACACAGCCTGGACCACTGATAAAAAAGCAACAAAAACTCTTTACTCATTTTGAAATTTCTACAATACTTCACACTTGCTTTTAAGATGAAGCTACCCCAAAGTAATGGCTGTGGCTCATTTCTGTATTGAGAAAACACTTTGCAACAGAATGCAACTGCATGCAATTTACATAAAGAACAAAATTGAGACACACATGCAAAAAACGGTTATAAACTTGAAGTACAAAGAGCTTTGGGCTTCTTGAACTAGATGATATGGGGACAACCTACTGAATTCTTTATGGTTAAAAAGATTTAAATAGAATTTCAGAAATAGCCCAGATACAGTCAACATACAAGTTGCTTTCATCATCCCCTGCCCCCAAATTTTCAAGGGTTAATTTTAAAAATTAAGTGCCCTCAGGCTTATTTTCTATCCACACCAATGAACTTCATACGACAGCCCAGTGTGTGGGCTCAGAAACTATGTATGAACATTACGATTGCTTTCAAATACAGCTGCTGGTCAAGCTATTATACTTGCATAATCAATAATAAGCAAAACATTATGTAATCTCAAATGCTTAACCATAAAAGTTTAAGGCCATCATTATAAAATCTGAAGTCCTAGAAGTTCTAACAGAATATCTACTATTTCTCCAGTTTTACACTTCTGCTCCTTCTATTCTTCTTTTCACCCATACCCAATTCTAAAAAACGGTTTTTTCTTCTGCCTTTATTGGAGGCAGAATAAACCCAAAAGTTAATTTGAAGACAACAGGGAGATGCAATACAAACTTTTTTTTTAAAGCAGAACACAGCTGTTGAACATTAATAAACCCATGAGAAGATATCAAGATCATAAATCCAGCTGGCAAGGAACTGCTCATAGAAAAGGGGAAAAAATTGCCATGCAGCATCAGTAAGAATACCTTATCTTAGACATTTTGAAGGAGAGCTAGTACAATTCACCCTAAAATACTCCATAGCAAGACGCAATTTTATAGCCAGTCCCAGATCTTCAGAACAAAGCTAGAATTGACAGTATTCGTTTATTCACACAACTTTTAGGTAACTATTTATCTGTTAATTCAAATCTGTAATTTAACAATGAAAATTGTTCGAATGACTGCAAAAGCACCTTAACATCCAATTTCAAACATGCTTAACTGTTTGTGTCTCTTAAGCAATATGCTTATTTCAGAACAAAACCACTTCTTATTGTTCAAATCCTGAAGTTGTCCAGAGCGCCTTTTCAAACTTTCCACATTTGGATGAGGGCCATATAGTCCTGCTAGGCAGATTACGAAAAAGACTCAATTGGATAAATACAGCATGCTTTTTTCCCCCCATGAGGGTGAAGCAGCAGAGCCCACAGAGCTGAACACACATTCTCCGTCCTCAAAGGGTTTCAATACCCAACTGGAAAAGCCCTAGGCAACCTGCTCTGACCTCACAGCTGATCCTGCCATGAGGAGGAAGAGATGTCCCTGAAGTCCCTCTCCAGTCGAATAATCCTGTTATCTCTCAGGCACATAACAACCAAACTCAAGCCAAAATTTTGAACAGACAATCACAGGAACTTGCCTTTCTCCCCCCACACCCTCCTCCGCGAAATTCTTTCCCACCAGGCACTAGGGTCTCTCAGGAGAGCCTGCTAGTTGCATGTTCTACTTCCAGTATGGAGACGACTTTGCAACCAGCACTCACTGTCCTTCTATAGTATGTAAGCCAACATTCAAGTGCATTAGTATGAAGAATTTTTTTACTTTCTTTTAAAAAAAGTGTCTACAGAAACATTCTCCCCCTACAAAAATTAACTGCTACAAGTACTTTTTTTACACAACCACCTGCACTGCAGTCCACTATGTCAACTCTCATGTTTTCAAGAAAATAAAGAACTGAACTAACAGAATCAGAAACATTTTAAGACACATGCTTTCATGTATGAATCATTCAGACCTTGAAGTTCATGCCAAATTATAAAGCACATTCCCTTTCCACATTTATCTTCATTGCTATTTTCTTAGTTTCCCCCCAAAATTCAACCATTTCAAATGCAAACTTCTCCTGGTATGCTTCATTACATCATTATTTAATCATTTTAGCTTAATCTAGCACAAATACTATGCTACCAATCCATCTCACCATGTTACGGGTGCTCTGTTCTCTGCACGTATTACACAGGTAGCTCTCTAGGCTTATTACATATTTACCTTGCTCTCCTCCTCTTTCTAGTGCCTATTGTCTTTGATTTTCAAACAGAAGTATTTAGGAACCACCTTAATTCCAACCGTTCCCCACAAATGCCCCATTTGTTGGAACTGGCAAGAATTAACTCAAGTGCAAAAAGCACCCTGAAGACCTTGGCTGCCTT